CCCCAAAACCCCAAAACCCCAAAACCCCTAGGGCAATTCCACCAATTGATTAATATGTTATTAAAAATGTCTGCGAGTCTCAGGACGTGTTGACCCAGGATTTACTCTTCAAGTCATATATCAGACTGCGGGTGCTCAAAATTAAATATCTTTCGTTCTAACAAAACAAGACATAGCGTTTTGACTATGAAAAAACTAGTTTTGAATCTTCGAGTAAACAAGCTTTGACAAACTTTGGTGCTTTGAATGATTTTGATTCTGATATTATGCTCAGCTAAAGGAGAGAATGGAAGTACAAAACGTGAATTACAAGAAAGGTTAGTCAAGCATCTTCATTAACTTTATCATTATAGGGTAACTTGCTCAGATACCACAACAACTAAAACTTGCAAAAGAGACATAATCACTCTCAACACCACCTCCACCCTAAAAATAAAATCCATCACCCAAACCTCCACTCCCTCCTACACCTCCTCTTACCTAATGCTCTCCTCCCCTCCTGGGACCACCTTCTGCAAGTACGACTTCACCCAACTCAACTACTGCTGGAGCACAAACTTATCTTATGAAGCAATGGTGATCACGCCTGACGAAAGCAAGCTAATTGCATCTGTAGACGGAAGCCAAGCTGGAGGACCAGGAATAGTATACTACATATTCTCCTTATCACAACTCGGAGTACAATCCATCACCAGACTCTCAGGGTAAGTCATTCCAACCCTTCCACCCCTAACTCCCCTACAGATATTCCTCAGGCAGTTTTCCTTCAAACAGTGCTCCCCACATGGAAGCTGTCAATGGCACCCATATCTGTAAGTCCCAATATTAGGGTACCTTAACAGGCACAATATAGAGAAAGGTAGTAGTTATCTTATGAAGAAATTAGTTTGAGTTTTAGAAGGAAACTTTAAGAGTTCACATTTGTATAGATACCTTCACAAATACGATTTATGGGACGATAGAGCTGAATTTGTTGGACATTTCCACTGGATCATCGAGTTATATAAGATATCAATCATATTACTCTTTTGTGCAGATAGTTTATAGCAAATAAATTGGATTCTATCTTGGTAAGTTGTGAGTAACCTTTAGATCATGTATCAAATGCTGTCTTCGAAGGATCTTAGGTTTGGAAGATATGATTATTCGGCAGACTCTCAGTTAAGCTTTGCAGGGATTGATTGACCAAACTCAGGAGGATCTAACTGTGCTTATGGCATAAGTTCTGCAAAAGCAATCAATGATGACCAAACTATTGCTTACCTTCTATTTTATTTTGAGCCCTATAAAACAAATTTTATATCTCTTAACTTTGTAGGCTCAAATGCAGTGCATGGAAAGACCTTTACTCCTTCAGTTGAAGCTGAGCAAGAATATTTTCTTAACTATTACTCAGGGCTAGTCTACATGGTATTCAGAGCAACCTCTAGCAAGTCAGTCTTGGCGATCTACAACACAAGTACAGATTCCTTTGGATCTCAAACATATGAAAGCCAGATCAGTTACAGAGCATTGTTGTATCAAAACTCAAAGTAAGAAACTTGATAATAATCGAGGAATATCAAAATTTGCTATCTCAGACAATTTTGACTGCAACACATCTTGATCAGTCATGACTACGGGAGGGGTTTGCAAGTTCTTCAATAATATTTCGAGATCTTTTATCAGAAAATGGTAGCTATCAATGCTCTTCACCCTCAGGCTTTGTTTTTAAAGCCATGGGGAGAACGAAGAGCCTTCCTTCTTCCTGATCCAAAGAATGGATCAGGAAGAAGGAAAATATGACCGAAACATTTTCTTCTTTTCTGGAAGAAATTCCCTAGAATTTTTGCCTACTTAAAAATTTCTTCCATGAATTAATGATATGAGAGGCCTTTAGTAGTATCTAATCACAGACTAAGTTAATCATGAGATAGGATAGGATCCAATGTTACCACAGTAGAAATACTTGTTATAAATACTACAAGTCCAAAGACGTTTGCTTAAATATGGCCGATTGATTATGAATAAAGCTATGGTTGTTATTATTGATTTTGCTATAATACAAAGCTTTTTTACCCTGAGTTTGTATCAAGTACCACTAGTAGTTCTAACTATACAAATTATGTGAAGTTTCCAATTTAGATTCCAAATATTAGGAACTGAAAACTCGAAAGTAATCATCGGATTCAGTGAACAAGGTAAGAGCCATAGTATAGTTTTAAAACTGTTAATATAGAGTTCTTCAAAAATCATTTGGACTTACAAAATTCAACAGTGACTATCAATGAAGTAAGACAAATATTTATCCAATATTGTGCATGTTTTAATATTCTAGGCATCTGATGGCATAGCTACTGAAAAGAGTGACTCACTTGCCATTATCGAAAAGACTTCATACACTTTATTCAGCTTATCTGTGATCGATATGAGCACAATCGAAGTTGTTTCTTCCCAGAAAAATCCAATGGTAATCAATCTATAAATTTATAAAGCTTCTCTGGAATATCGCTTTCTAATGATATTTAAAAATTGTTTCATTTTATTCTGAAAAATTATTAAAAACTATCAACATAAAATTGATCTTTCTCGGTTCTTGACTGTTGTCAAAAATCTAATTAACTTAAAATATTAATAAACTCAATTTAGGGAGAAAATTATTGAGATTACAGCCTTAATTTTTATGAAAATCCCAAAGAAATCACCATTGACAAAGAATTGAATCAGACTATTGATTTCTGTCTAATTAATCCAGCAGATAATTCAACAACTCTTACTTATGATTTTGTACAGAAGGAAGGAGAGGATGAAGCTTCTTATACGATGAGTAAAGACCAAAAGACCGGAAAATTAAATTTATACAACAGCGAAGCTTCTTTATTGACCAAGACTTACGAGTATACTATCAGTAAGTCTTTAGTTGCAAGTTCATGCTGGAAAGTTCGTTTTTCTTGCTAGATATTTTATTAAGATCTTTATCAAATCCTTATGAATTTTCCTTACAGAGTAGCAGGAAAATTAGAATTTAAAGCTTTAAGGGAAATTATATTTTACTTAATTCCACGTTATTAGTCCACTAAGTTCAATTTTTATTTAGAAAGTACTAATTTTTCCTCCTGAAATTGCCATTTGAGCCTGTAGAAGCATTTAATTTCTTAACACATTCCACAATTAAGTGACTAAACTGGAATTCTTGTTTTTCTATTGCTACCCTAGATAAAACCCTTGAATAGCAACGACTCTCGGTAATTCAGGACAAAATTTCACTGAAGATCTTACTATCAAAGAAGAAATAGACTCAGAAGATAGAGAAGTATATGAAGCCATGCAAAATAGTGTGATTGCTGTTGGAGCTATTGCTTCAGTTTTGGGTGGAATTCTTGGTGGTACCCTCATACAAGCCTTGTGGATGGTCCTCAATCAACAGAAACTCCTCCTATTTTTTATCCTCATTGATACGTATATGCATGTATTTGTCAGATTAATATTGACAAAACAGAACTTTGGATTATTAAACTTTGGGTTCTTAAATGATCTACTACCTGATTTTATGACTGGACCTTCTATGATTGATAAGCTAAATCAAGCCCAGAAGACTCCGACTGTAGAAGAAATTGGGTTTGATTTAGAGAGTTTTGTCAGATCATATTGGCTTTTCATCCAGTTATTAGTACTTTTTATTTTCCTTCACACAGTTTGTATCATCTTACTTTGTATCTTTCCATCCCTTTCAAAGAAGGAGGAAAAAGAATCCAATAAAAAACAAGAGGAAGCAAAGGAGAAGACTAAGGATAACAAAAGTTTTACTCGTGCTGAAACAAGGGTTAATTTAGTTTGAAGAGATAGCATGATAAAATTTGGAGTAAGCAGACTAGACGAACAAAAGAAAGAATCTAGTGAATTTAATAATGTTTTTCAAGAAAGAGATGAAGAGAGCGAAAAGAGTAAGTTATTTACTTTATTGAAGATTATAAATTTTAAACAGCTTGATCATATTAAATGTATACCTTACCCTAGCTCTTCCAACATCACGAAAGAATCTTTAATTTAATTTTCAAAACTAAACTCCACTCAAAACCTCCCATATGATCTTAAACTTCCCTCCCACTAACCTCTCAATAGGCCCTTCTCACCCTCAAAAGTCCTTCCAGAGACCCCTCTCAATCTCTAGTTCCTCCCAAGAAATTTCTTCACGCTCTTCTTCACTGGCCTCCTCCAAATCTCCTGCTCTGCCCTGCCACAAGAAATTGCTAAAATGGTTTGGCTCCAAGATCTCATCCAATTTCTTCTGGGATGTCTACTTCCGAATGTTTCTAGAGTCCTTCATGGGTGCAGTCTTGGTCACTGTTAATGAGATTAAAACTAATAAGAGGAATAGTTCATCAGAGACTCTTTCTTTTGCACTGAGCTGCATCGTGGTGGTCATTTATATGGCATTTTATGTATTCGTCTGTGTGGTAGGGGTCAGGGAGATGAAGAGAAGGAAGAGGATTTTTGAGGATGTGAAGAGGAGAGATAGGAGGGATCAGTATAGAGAGCGTGATGGTGTGGTAGAAGTGGATGAAGAGATTAAGGGTAGGTTTTGTATGTTGATTTTTAGATTGTGACAAGAAGATCTATGCAGAATTATTCAGAGATTTGAAGTATACTCCTTATGCAGCTCTTCATCAACCACTGAATTTGACAAGAGTCGTGATTATGATCTTTATTGTTGCCTTAGATATATTTAATAGCTCAACTATATGGCTACTATTTTGCTTAATACTGTCACTACAAATTCTCTATACGGTCCAAGCTATCTGTATTCCAAAATTTGATTGGTGGCCTCTAAAAGTAATCTACATATTGAATGAAATTTTCTTTACTGCATTTATTGTCATATTTGGGTTACTCAAGTCTGCCCAAGATTGGAAAAGCCGTAACTGACCCTCTAACTCTTTAGCAACAACCAAAAACATAGTTATAACGCTGATTTTCTTAAACAGTATTCAAGTTATCTTCTTCCAAATAGTAACTGCTTCATATAACTTATAGTGGGGAAACATAATTCAAGGCAAAAAGACAATCCGCACTATCAAAACGAGTCTCCACAGATCCAAAACCCCCGAAACCCCTAGAGAGCTATCATCAGCAAGGACCCAAAAAATCCCCAAAACTCCCAGAATGCCAAAATCCTCCAAAACCCCAATCCCAACAATCTGGTCGTCCACCCCTTCCAAGCCACCCATTCCTACCCAAAACTCTTCTACTCTTCCATTTCGGTCTTTGACCCGTTCGACAACTTATCCTAAAATTCCAATTGATTTTGGTCAAGATCCTCCCACTCTTGAAAGATCCACAAGGTAAATTAATTAAGAAAGTTTTGGGTGACCTAGAAAACCCTGGCTTGGATAAAACATTGTTGGAGTAACCCCTCCAATTTCCCTTCCCAATCCTAACCTATCACAGCCCAAAACCCCCTAGTCCAACTTCCCTACCCAACCCTCCCCAAAGTAAGCCCTTCCTCAGCCTTAAGCTTGACTATCTTATAGTGAGGAAACTGAAGAGTTATACATTACCCAGATGACAGGTTTAGGATTAAGTGAGTGACAATCAATTTTGGGACAAGATGTTGGGGTTTTGGGGTTTTGGGGTTTTGGGG